CCCCCCCCCCCCCCCCCCCCCCCCCGCCCCCCCCCCCCAGTGATAAAACCTATGACACAGGCCGTCTCTTTCACGAAAATAAAAACGTAAATACCAGACAACACAGACTGCGACACCCATTACCTCGACCACGGTAGACTAGTCCAACTAACTTTTCAATGGAGTTGACCTACAATCGGTGGTGTGCAAATGGGGACACCATTGTATAGATAACCCAGGATTGCTTACCCCACCTATAATTTTATCGGGGGGGGGGGGGGGGTGTAACAGGAGTTCATAGTTCGTATGACCCTCCGCTTCCGACTTCCCCAGGGGTCCGGCGTCCGTGACTTCCGTCCTAAAATCAAACTTTACATTTTGCGTAGCGAATTATGAAGCAGATGTAATGAATGTTGATGTAAACTTTGCACGAAACAGGCGGTCATAAAAATCAAATGTAAACAAAAACAGCATTCGGCACGATGTGCTAAATATGGCTGCGTGTTCATTCGGCATGCCGTTTATGTTGATTGTTGTTGATAATTTCCCCTTTCTGAAGACAAGAGTGTGTTCCAGATTTCTGATATGATCGTTTAAGGAGTGGCTGAATTCTTTCTGGGAAATATGATCTGAGAACCACATGTTCCTCAAATACTTCAGAGATATGCAAAACTAAACAACAAGTTCCGTATCCTGATGCAAATAAAAATGCAGTTTTCATTCTTAAGTGCGTTTAAAAAACAAATCGTTGGTTCGTTTTTGAACCAACTGGCACACAAAAAACAGGTTGCATAAATATTATAAACACAGAGCGCTGAGTAGACGATACAAACGTTGGAGCGAGGGTCTCAAGAACAAGACAAGGGAACTGAACACCTCTTTCACAACACATTCGATTATACGATTGTTTGAAGTAATGGGTGGTAGTAAATATCACTTCCTGTAGTTAGACACTGCGTTATCCAAGCTGCTAGACCAGTGACCTCCAACCTGTGTCTGGTGTCCATGTGCCCCACCCACCCTTTGAGTATGCAGCAAGACCCCTAATCCCCTCCACACTCTTGCCGCCCGGCCCCGCCCCTCCCACATAAGAAACATAAAACAGAGAGGGAATGTGTTTTTAATCTATAATTAAATTATGTGCATAACTAAATGCAAGTGTTATCATATTAATTCGGTAATAATTAATGTAGATGTGCAAACTGCTCATGAAAGCCAACACTTCCTAGCCTTTGTGTTTTTATAAATTGTTTAAAAGTTATTTTTATTTATAATTAATCTGAAACAAATCTGCAGTGTAATCGATTACTACTAGTATAAATGCAGAATTTGGTGTTAAAAAATCTAGCCAAAATATTTCAGGATTATCGCCGGTTCTACGGAGTTCGTGCACTGCGCGGAGATTCTTCGGACTCAGGCGTGAGTTAAAAGTAGAACTGATCACTTATGGGTAACTGCCCTTGTGCTGCCAGGATGTTGATCCTTTGTCTAAACCATTTAAACAAGTGAAGTTTTTCCATTTTTTGGGGGGTGGGGGATCTCTCTCTCTCTCTCTCTCTCTCTCTCTCTCTCTCTCTCTCTCTCTCTCTCTCTCTCTCTCTCTCTCTCTCTCCTCTTTTTCTCTCTCCTCTTTCTCTCTCTCTCCTCTTTCTCTCTCTCTCTTTCTCTCTCTCTCTCCTCTTTCTCTCTCTCTCTCTTCTCTCTCTCCTCTTTCTCTCTCTCTTTCTTTCCTCTTTCTCTCTCTCTTTCTCTCTCTCTTTCTTTCTATCTCTCTTTCTTTCTCTTTTCTCTCTCCTCTTTCTCTCTCTCCTCTTTATCTCCCTCCTCTTTCTCTTTCTCTCTCTTTCTCTCTCTCCTCTTTCTCTCTCTCTCTGTCCTCTTTTCTCTCTCTCTCTCTCTCTCTTTCCCTGTCTCCTCCCTGTTCCACCGGTCTCCCATGTTCAGAGATCTCTTAACTGCACTAAACAAGTCGAACTATTTTTTTTAATGACCTTGACTCTCAGGTTGACCGAGCCTTAAACAGCTACACGCTAGTGTCCAGGAAGGCAAAGGTGGTTCAGTGGGAGACTCACCACACGCCTCCCATCGAATGATGATACAAATATGAATCTAGCATAGGGTGACCATGCATCCCGTTTTCACCGAACTGTCCCGTGCTTAGGTGACCCCCGACCATCCCGTCTATACTCCAGAAAAAGGCTAAAAGTCCCGTTTTTAAGGCCCTCCGACCATCCTGCATATACTCCAGAAAAGCGCTAATTGTCCCTTTTATAAAAATTTATGAATAAAATCGATTATAGAACAAACATTCATGTCTATATATCTTATTAGATTTCAAAGTTTTAGATACTTCGAACGCTTGAATTGTGTTGATGAAAATATTATTTGGATAGCATACTTTTTTTTTCTTCTAAAATTACAAATTTAAAGCATATTGTTTCGTTTATTTCTGGGCGGCACTGGTTCGGGTTTTTATACCTTTGACAAGCGGGTAGTTAACCCGTTTACTCCAGTGATCTAGATAAGAAAGTGGGACATATTGGTCAACTGACTGACTTGGATGTCTCATTTTCAGCTCAATATATAAATGACGTGTCCCGTTTTCAGCTCTAAATATTGGTGCGATGTCCCGTTTTCAGCTAAAAAGTTTGGTGCGATGTCCCATTTTTAGCTACAAATTTTGGTGCGATGTCCCGTTTCCAGCTCAAAATATTGGTGCGATGTCACGTATTCAGCTCAAAATTTTGGTGCGACTTCCCGTTTTCAGCTCAAAATTTTGGTGCGATGTCACGTTTTCAGCTCAAAATATTGGTGCGATGTCACGTTTTCAGCTCAAAATTTTGGTGCGATGTCCCGTTCTCAGCTTAAATTATTGATCCGATGTCACGTTTTTAGCTCAAAATATTGGAACGATGTCCCGTTTTCAGCTCAAAATATTGGTGCGGTGTCACATTTTCAACTCAAAATGTTAGTGCGATGTCCCGTTTTCAGCTCAAAATTTTAGTGCGATGTCCCGTTTTCAGCTCAAAATATTGGTGCGATGTCCCGTTTTCAGCTCAAAATATTGGTGCGATGTCCCGTTTTCAGCTCAAAATATTGGTGCGATGTCACGTTTTCAGCTCAAAATAATGGTGCGATGTCCCATTTTCAGCTAAAAAAAATGGTGTGATGTCCCGTTTTCAACGAAACATATTAAGGTGGCCTAGTCTAGCGTTACTTGTTCGATGCACCGTTGGCACAAAAACGGTCCTTCGCTTGCTCACATGACAGACACGTCTTTGGAATGAGTGGCAGCCGCTGTCATGTAGCGGCTAAACTCTCGCCTACGAATCCCAAGGTCGTGGGTCCAGCTCCTGAAGGAACCATGGTTTTTTTTTTCTTTTAAAAAATGACTGGCTCCCAGGTCGACTCAGCCTTAAATAAGTACTAGGTAAACTCCTAGGACGTAAAGGCGACCGGTCAAAGATTGACCACATTACCCAACGATGGCTCATTGGTCTATACAATTTATCTCCAGCCCTATTTGTCCCTACGCCTGAAAGCGTACAAAACGGTCCTTTACACTGAACGAATTGAAGAAGCATCGCCCATTGATCCGCTACTGTAATTCTTCTTCTTCTTCTTCTTCTTCTTCTTCTTCTTCTCCACTTCCTCTTTTACCGCTGTGGGTGTCGAGGGAGATATAAGGTTCTGTTTCTAGCTCTTCTGGCTGCCTCGACCATAGGCACATCGTACTGTTGTAGAGTTTCTCTGATGTTATCCTTGCATCTTGTTCTTGGTCTACCCCGTGCTCTACGTCCTTCTTCTCTTCCCATGTATGCTTTGTATGGTATGGTGTCACAAGGCATTCTCTCTAAGTGGGCAAACCATTTCACTTGTTGTCTTTGTATGTAATCCAGAATTGGTTCTGTGCCGACTTGTTCTCTTATGATCTCATTTCTGATCTTATCTCTTATGGTCACTCCTACAGCCCTTCTCAGACATCTCATTTCCGTGGTTACTAATTTTCTTTTATGGTTTGTTGTGAGTGACCATGTCTGGCACTGGTAGCACAGAGTTGGAATAAATATGCTTTGAATAAGATGTCTCTTTGTGCTGATTGGGATTGTCTTATGCTGTAAGAGGGGGGCTAGCTGTCCCAATACTTGGTTTGCTTTACTGCATCTAATGTCAATTTCTTTATCCAATTTCCCATCTTCGGTAAATGTAGTTCCCAGATATTTAAACTCAGCTGCCTGTTTAATGCCTTTGTATTCTATTGTTATGTTTAGATCTGTCTTATTTTTTCCTATTGACATTACTTCTGTCTTTTCAGTGTTGATTCTCATATTATTTGTTTTACATTCTTCATTCATGGATGTTAGATGTTGTTGCAATTTCATAACTGTATCTGCTATCAAGGCCTGGTCATCTGCAAAGAGTAATTCGTTGATCTTACTAAAATCTTCATTAATGGGCTTGGCATTCTTGCATATACTGTCGATGTAGCTACTGTAATTACTTCTTCTAATGTGTTTTCTCTATTTCCAGCAGGTTTGGCTCCGGAATCCTTCCTAAACAAGATCCAGCGAGCGAAATATCTGCAAGAGCAACAGCAACAACTGAAAAGATTACATGACGCAGCAGAACAACAAATGTATTTCCAACTACTTCAAAGCCTAAACAGTCAGGGCTCTTCCAACGAAGATGAGATTAAAAGCACATCATTGACATCGCCTCGCGTGTCCGGCCAGGAACTCAAGACCTCCTCAAATCTGCTGGCAGCCATTCGCAGCTCCTTGATCAGTCCCAGCCCGTCTTTCAAGTACAGTTTTATCGGAAAATAGGTGTAGATGCTAATGTGGACGCCCTCATCATCATCGTGTGTCAGGTCGTGGGATGTGGTTATTTAGCTTTCTGCAGATCCCGGTCCTGATAAACCTGGATCAGTTATGATTTTCTTCCATGTACCATCCAGCATTGTTTCTCATTGTCTGCTCCTGCCTCTTCTCCGAACGATCTTTTCAGTGGCCACGACGTTTTCCGCTGTCACTGTTCTCATTGTACCACCGAAGGACATTGGCTGTCCTTGTAGCGTCAACACTAAAAAATGGGGGGGGGGGGGGGGGGGGGTATAAGCAAGGAGTTATTCGTTGCATTTTCACAGCTTGAGTCTACACAGGTAACAGTTCCTTTCCTCATCTTGAGGTGTAAATACGTTGGCAGTTCGGTATGTTTCTAAAATAGTCAGTCTCAAAGGGGTACTTGACAAATATGATGCCGACCGCTTTTACTTCCCAGAAAATGTTATTATACCTATTTCGGCTTTGTCGACATGAAAGCTGGGGTAAATTAAAACATACAAGCAAAATCTTTGATTTTAAGGAGTTTTGAACACAGTTCCACTGTGCTAGCAGGCATCCATGCTGGCGACTCAAATATCGCGACCTGTTTAATGCTGATAGTAAGAGTAAAGGATTGCTACTCCATAGGACATGTTTGACTGAAACCCCAGTTTAGAACCCACACATACCTCTCCACGACATGTGACCCACACATACCTCTCCACAACCGGCGACCCACACATGCCTCTCATCGACCTGTGACCCATACATGCCTCTCCACGATCTGTGACTCACACATGCCTCTCCACGATCTTGACCTACACATGCCTCTCCACGACCTGTAACCCATACATGCCTCTCATCGACCTGTAACCCACACATACCTCTCCACGACCTGTGACCCACACATGCCTCATCGACCTGTGACCCATACATGCCTCTCCACGATCGGTGACTCATACATGCCTCTCCACGATCTGTGACTCACATATGCCTCTCCACGATATGTGACCCACACATGCCTCTCAACATATGACCTACAAACGCTTGTATCAGTTCCTGTGCCAAGACCCTGAGATTCCATGACCAAGTCGTCAGTCATTGCTCCAGCTTCACTACAGACAGGTTGTTCCGTAACTTCGCAGTTCTTGTGCCACTGGGAGCCTCACACGAAATGTCTGTCATTGTCCCATTTGAAAACTAGCGGGAGGGGTATCAGTCCCTGCAAGATCTTGAAGTTCTCATGCACAAATTAAATACATAAGGTTACTGTTAGATGTGCCAGCACTAGCAATCCCACACCATATCTGATTGTTGATGCACACAGTCAGTTCCAAAATCCGGATTTGTACAAACAGCACGGCAAACGTACACGCCATTCTGAAAACAATCAAGCACGCGTAATCTTTCAAGTGTATTTCTCAAACACAGTGATGTTGCAGGCACAACTGACCACAAAAAAAAAAAAAAAACGAATGCAAAGCTCACAGTGTCGCACCAAGCACTTAACTCAGTAGCTATTCTTTTCATTAAACAAATAATCTTCAATGTTTGTCTTCGTCCAGTTTTTGTTCCAGTTTCTTCCCTCTAATAAAGTGGCCACACAATATGGCTGCCTTTTTCTGCTGTGTTTTAAAGGTTGTCTATAGCTATTCACACACACACACACACGCACACACACACACACACACACACACACAAACACACACGCACACACACACAAACACACACGCACACACACGCACACACACGCACACGCACACACACACACACACACACACACACACACACACACTTGGATTACTTATTTCGACAGCCCATACAAATTTCGAGCATTCTTCTGTGAAACCTCATCTTTGTTAGCCTTAAAATTTTTTTTTGGCTTGTTTAAAAATTGCCCATGATTTACACCCTAATATTAAAATTGGTCTTAGATTTATTTGCAAAGAAATTGTTTGTGGCTATTGTTGAGGAAGGGGGGGGGGGATGTTCCCTGTTGTTGATATTCTTTGGAGTTTTTTTTTTTCGGAAAACATATACTCTGCTGTAGCTGTTTGCGGGTTTACCTGCTTGTTGTCCGCCTTACTGATCCCAGCTAATAATCGCTTAAGAAGATTATCCCTTATCGCCCACGCTTATCACTATAATACATGATGATGATTATGTAGAATCCAGATTTAGAAAACCCCTGACCTGGTTTTTAAATTGTTATCACATGTAAGCAAACATCAAAGGAGCCGGATTATTTACTTACAGGCACCCACATAAAATGTTTACTTCCGGATTTAAAAAGATCCAGAAGATTTTGTTAATTAGGAATATAACGGAAATATTACAAGCTGGTGCTTCATTTGGCGATTGGCGCTGAACCATTTTTCATGTGCCCCCCCCCCCCCCCCTTTCCATTATATTTTTAGGGTCATTAAAAAAAATGTCAGATGCATATTTAAACCTAAGACATTCATGTCAGCAGGCAGGCTTCAGGAATTTGGTAATGTTTTAATCCTAGTTTCAACTTCATAGCAAACGGGTCACCCCATAGTTGCTCCGCTCCTGTGCCAACGAAAAACACACAGAATGTTTATCACAGTCCCTTGTGGAAAAATTAACAGACTGCTGTCTCAGCATATGTACTAGCATACACACGCATTATAAGCATACAGTAGCCATCCGAAGTGTTGACACAAACAGTCTGACGTTAGAAATGCAAGTTCATCATTGATGGTAGCAGAAGTAACTAACAGAACAGCAGTTGCACAGTTTAATCACATAATGGCACCACCAATATTGCGACAAGAGGAATCGTGCTATTTTCTGAATCTACAGTTCACACCGCCACGTTAGTCACATTAGAAAAAACATTCCAAATGAAATCCGCAACTCACAGTGTCACGCCATGCACTCAACTCAGAAGCTGGGCGACGAAACTATATCATTTTAGGAAGATTACAATAGCGCTGTTAATCCAAATTACACCTCAAACTGAGGGAGACAAAATAGTGTTTTTTTTTTTAATATGATGATCATGGTAAAAGGTTGTGTTCAGGGAAGGGGACAAAAGGAGGTAAAGAAAAAAAAAAGGGGGCAGTTGTCGGTGTCACAAAGGTGTTGAATAATGAAACGAGGATTATCATTTTTACCCATTAGAGTTTGTTACTTATAGATAAGATAATGCATTTTTGTAATAATCTCCAAGCTGGTGACGTTTATTTAACATAAACAACAGCCAACCAAAAATTTCATTTCTGTACAGTTTGACTTAGCCTAGAATGAGTGCAGGAAAACATTATGAGAAGATTATATGCACGGAAAACATAGGGAGGGCTGTAGTTGCACATATTTTAGAGAGGAGACAAAAAGGATCTAATCCTTGTTAAGTGCATAACAATAATAGTAACAATGTGCTCAATAAATATAATAACTTTGTTAAACTAAAATGCATCTTGTTTTATTTGTTAATTTCAAATTTGTTGTGTGCCACGACATGACCGTGTATCTCTTGAAGGGCTAGTACACCAAGACACTACACATATATATGTTCCCCACGACATGACCGTGTATCTCTTGAAGGGCTAGTACACCGAGACACTACACATATATATGTTCCCCACGACATGACCGTGTATCTCTTGAAGGGCTAGTACACCGAGACACTACACATATATATGTTCGATATGACAAGACTGTTTATCTCTTGAAGGGCCAGCACACCGTGACACTACATATATATATATTTTTGCCATGACATGACTGTGTATCTCTCGAAGGGCTAGCACACCGTGACACTACATATATATATATATGTTAGCCAAGACATGACCGTGTATCACTTGAAGTGCCAGCACACCTGAACACTGCACATATATATGTTCGCCACGACACGACTGTATATCTTTCGAAGGGCTAGCACACTGGGACACTACACATATATATGTTTGCCACGACATAACAGTGTATCTCTCGAAAGGCCCAAATAACTGAGTCACATACAAAGAAGCTGATGTACAGAATAATTATTTGTTTCTCCTTGTTCGCTAAATGAAGAACTAAACAGTTTACAGAAACAAATATATGCAGACTGGTTTAGCTGAAAAAGAAAACAATAAACTGGTATATCTCCAAGCTAGCTAACTTTTTTGTTATCTTTAATCATTGTTTGTTTGTCGTTGTTAATGATCGAATGCCGTCTGTATCATAGTGGTTGTAATGAAGCTTCATAATCCTGACAAACTGCTGTTTAAAGTTAGTTGTAAACCATTTTTTAACAGGCTGCCTTGATTTTGTTCTGTTTTTCTTTCGCTCTTAAAAAAGGCAGTTTGTACCTTGTGGTATTCAGCTAAGCTGTGACATCTGCTCATTTCTACCCAACATGTCCGATTACAGCAAGTCATAAATTAGTCGCCTATTACGACACGCTTGTTAAAAAGCAGTCAGTCTGTGTTTTTTTTTATCACCCCCCCCCCCCCCCCCCCCCCCTCAAATACGTGGACCTGAATCTCAGATGTGATAAATGCTTAGATTTGAAAACTGTATGATAGTTGTATCGTCCAGAAAGTCATGGCAAACTTCTTCTTTAGCTTTCTATCCCCCACTGGAATATAGGCTCCCAACCGATTCACGTCAAGTAGTTCCATCCTTGGCTTTGCGTGCAGCACCCTATCTCCACCCAATCTTGCTGACTTCACTTTATAGCTCCCTTCTCTTTGTGTTATTTGGTATGCCTCTATTCCTAGGCCCCTGTGGGTTCCAGTGCAAAATACATTCTAATTATACTGTTCTCAGTTGTTGGCAACCTGTGTCCGATCCAACGCCAACGTCTTTTCCTCACCTCTCGGTCCACTGGAACAAGTTGTTTCCTCTATCTACATCAGTGATTCTATCAAACAATTTAATTGCCTCTTTTCTATGTAGGAACTAGTCAATAGAAGTTTGTAGTTTATTAGTCATTGTTTTAGTTGTTCTCTTTGTTTCCGCTCCATACAACGGAACTGATTTAACATTAG